ATAATATTAAATATTTTTAATCATATTAAAAAAAATAAATATAACTAGCACTTAACTATAATTTTACATTTTAAATAAATAAACATTATAGGTAAAATTGAGCAACGCTTTCAAGATGTGGCATACAGAGACAGGCCAATGATCAAAAATGATTTTTTTTTTCGACTTCGAGGCTCTAAAACTTTAAAATGTGTTCAAAGATTTCACTTCAATTATGAGAAACAAATGTGTAAATGCGGTGTATTTGTCCTTCAGATTTTTTTTTCATCAACAGCTTGAGGTGTAAACGTACTCCTAACAAAATAATTCCAGATCATATTCTTTACTACTGTTTCTTCGCCTGACCTCCACTGTTTCTCCACCACCCATTTCAGCCTTTATGTACAGTTCTCTACCTTATATTCCTAATCTTTCTAAAAACATAAACTAAGTTTTACAATCTACTGACCCTAACTTATAACTTGCCTTCAAATCTCACAATACGCTTTCAAATTTGTACACATCCTTAAAAGATCCTATTCCTCTTTCACACCGCTCTCATATCATTTACCATATTCCGTGTTCTATCCCTAATTGTTTTTCATCTTACATTGGTGAAACCAAAAATCTTCTAAAAGACCGCATCACCCAACATAAATATTCTGTATCTTCTCATAATTTTACCGCCTCCAAATTATCCGAACATTCTCTCTCCCTAAACCATACATTTATTTGATTTCGACAATCCTTGCCTCCATCTCTAACCAGGACCAAGGACTCATCTCAGAAGCCCTCCACATCCAGCCCCAACCTGAAAGTGAATCTAAAAACAGACAAACAAAACTTATCCTTCGAATATTTATAAAACATTCAAATATTATTAAAACATCCATAGCAATCTCCTTTTTCCTTTTCGCTGACAACTTTCTTTCTTTTTTCATCTACTTTATTATACTATATTTATCCTTATTTTATACTAAAGTACATTATATTTCCTCTTTATTTTTAATTCTTTTTCGTTTTCTGTCATCACGCTTCCTCACTTTCCAAAGATCATTAATACTCCATTGCCTTATAAATAGACTTACTCATTTTCGCCCAACCTTCAGTTTACTTTTTCTTTAATCTCATTAAACAAATTCATTTTTATTTTTTTTAATCTCACGTTTCACATAGATCTGGTACTCTATTATAAATAAATATAATATGATCTATAATAAGTCTCTCATCCATCATATACGTTTTTGTGCTTTAGTTTACATTTTTTGGTTAACCGTTGCAGAAGGCGCCTACCAGCTCCCCTTCCTCCCGCTACAATACATGTCTGTCTGTCTGTCTTCTATCTGTTGGTAGAGCAGGTTCATTTATTTTTCTTATCTTAGTTTTCTCCTTTTATTCATCCTTCCCGTCACTCTATTTTGCATACCTTCATCTCTATTTTCTATATATTGATAAACTTACTCATTCATCTTTTTTTTACATTATTTTTACTTTTTATTCTCTTATACGTAGTCAGTATTTTTGATAAATTTTACAATGTCGTAATTTTCTATTTATATCTATTATTTTCTTATATAATTTCATGTTTCTTTTCTCTGTTTTACACTTTATTCTAAGATTACCATTTTCATTTGTTATGTTACCTTATTTTTTAATATGCTTATTTCATTGGTCCGTGCTTTGTTATCGTTATTATTTAGTTCTTAGTTCTCTGTTACTCTTCCTACTTTGTTTTGTTTTAATGTTCACTCTATCTACTTCATTTTATGTTAAGTTTTTCTACCTAAATTTTTACCTTCTACCTACCTTTTTTAATCTAAATTCTTTATTATTCAATTTTTATAGTTTGTTATACCTATTGTTATCTGGTTCTTTTCTCAGCCCTGATGAAGGCCTGAACTTCAGGTTGAAACATCGACAAACATAAAAATAAATACAAATATTTATTTTTACTATTTTATTTTGACTGATCACCCCAACCATCCTTTTCTTCAATTATTCCCTCCAGTCAACCATCAACCCACATTAAAAAATATTGAATTGAATTGACCAAGGAAACGAAGATGACGGTCTACAGATCAGTATTCATTCCTATACTGACATATTCTTCCTAGTTCTGGACACTTACTTCGAAACACAGGATCCAGGCTCTAGAGATACAATACCTGTGAAAGGTGGAGGAAAAGACAAGATGAGACAGAATTCGCAATACTATAATGCGGGCCAATACAATACAATCTCGATGCCAAAGTGGTCGAGACCATAATTGAAGAACATAAGTTGAGATGGTTTGGGCACCTTCTCCGTATGGATTGAAACAGAGTCGCAAGGAAGACGTATGAGACTCTCGTGCAGGGTAGGAGACCAAAAGGAAGACCCAGAATCTCCTAGGAAGAAGGCGTGCAAGGTGCATTTCAGAAGTGAGATTTAGAATGAAACAGGAGACGAGAGATAGTACTGGAAAGGTCCACCTGGTCCAAGCTTTACAAGAAGCAACCTCACACTGCATAAGTGGTAAAGAGGAACATGATTATGATGATGAATTGTACAATCCGATAGAAATATTCTTAATAAAATGTGTTCATACTTCTACCCATTAATTTTATTAAGGTGACAATTTTCCATGATCGAACATTCCACTTTTATTACACAATCACAATATCTTGCACTCAACAAATGGGTAGAAGTATAAAGATATTAAAAATATTAAGATATTATAAAAACAAAAGCCAATATTTATTTATTGATTTAGGGATTAATCCATATAATTAGCATTTATGGATAACTAGTATTAAATAATAAAAAGTATCTTACCTAAATCTCCTATACCACTAATGAGCTTGGTAATTGAATATGACCCTCTGTATGAGAATCTGTAAACATATACAGGTGAAGTGAACACCGAAGCTGAAAGTTTTGAAATTTTGCTAATACCAGCTCCAAAGAATCTGTCCCCAACCAGCTGCAACAATATATATGTTTTTTTAAAACAATATTTTCAAGTTAAATATTAAAATTTTATATGTTTAAAGTTAATAAACAATAGAAATTAATGTTCCAACTAATAAGGTTTATAAATGAAGTAGTCTCATCTCTATTGGAACTAAAATTTGCTTTTATAAATTAAACCTTTATGCCACAAATTAGTGTAAGAATTAAACATGGCAATGATCAAATACAAATAATAAGAGAAATTAATGTATTAAAAAATTTCTTCAATCATGTTTTACCAAGAAAAGATACCTCCTGAAATCCTCGTGCTGAAAGATGTGTTTATGTACCTCTATATTTATGAAAAAAGACTCAACTGGCGTGTCAAGGAATATAAGTGAGGATTGATGAAAACCTGATTTAATAACAAATTTTATATCTATCTATCTAACGGCGCTATGATCCTTGTAGGACCTTGGCCTTCTCAGTGATCCTCCTCCATCCTGACCTGTCTTCGGCTGCCCTTCTCCATCTGCTGACACCCAAGGTCCAAAGGTCCACCTCTGCATCCTGCAGCCAACGAAGTCTATGTCTCCCACTTCATCTTCTTCCACCAGGGTGTCCCTCCATCACTATTTTCCATTCTTTGTATGTGCCCCAGCCATCTTATCCTGGCACTCTTGGTCGTGGCAACAATATTTGGTGTTTCATATAGTGTAATGTTAGGAAATCTCTTCAGGAAACAAAAGAGGCTTTGATAAAAAACTTTTACACCACAAAACACTTTTATTCCACTCTATATATCACGATAACAATGAACAAAGAACTGCTGCTCTCTGGGTAACCCTGGGTAAGGACATAATGATTTCTTTTACTTCCTCAGGATCAGGTTGTTCCAGCTCTACAGCCTCTGCTGTTCCGAGCTCACATATTTTCTCTTCCAAGTTTTCCTCTGGGTTTAGCACTTCTTTGAAATAGTCTCTCAACCTGTTGATCACTTCATTCTTGTCACACAAGAGTAGACCTTCCCTGTCTTTACTAAAGGATATCCACAATTGAAATTATTTTTATATCTTTTTCACTCTGCCACAAAAAGAACTGCTGTTCTTGTTTTCGAAATCCCGCAGGATTGTTTCCAGATCTTCCTTTTCCATTTTTCTCTTTTTATATCTACTGAGCTGCTTCACAGTTTCTCTTTTCCGTTTGTATTCTTCACTGGTCTGTCTTGTACATATTTGTAGCATCCTTTCATGAACTTTTGACTTCTCTTGTACTGGTATTTCACATTCATGGTAAAACCAAATGTTCTTTTTCTCGCCTATTGTCTCATCTGCCACATTACTTACAGCTTAATAAGGAATTTTTGAAAGACTTATTCTAATCCGTTTCTTTTGTACATCTTGATCTTCTGTTTTAAGTGCATTGTTTCATAGATTTTCTTCCACTTTTCTTATATATAGCCGTGTTTCTCAATATTTTTCAAGTCCCCAACCTTATATGTATTGCTTGCTTTCTCTGTTTTCCCTCTTGGTTTGCTGGATAGTCTCTGGATTGTATCCAGATAATGATCCGTTGAGCAATCTGCACCCCTATAACTTCTCACATCTTCTATATCACTTTGGTGCCTGCTATCAATCATTACATGATCAATCTGGTTCTTGGTTTTTCCATCTGGTGATACCCATGTTTCCAGGTGAATAGTTTTATGTTGGAAGGATGTACTTGAGATTTTCAGGTTCTTTCTAGAGGTGAAGTCTACTGCTCTGTGCCCATTATCATTACTGCACTTGTGGAGGCTAAACTTACGTACTACTCTTTCTGATGTTTCTTCTCTCTCAATTTTACTATTACAATCTCCAAGAATTATTTTGATATCATATTTGGGAAGTTTATCAAAAGCTATTCCTAACTGGTCGTAGAAGGCTTCTTTCTCTTTTAGATTTCATTGCAGGAATGGGCTGTCACTAAAAATTTAATTTAGAAACATTTTAAAATTTATAACAATAATTATGCCACAAACCTTAACGACATTTGCAGGTCCTTCTGGAGTATCATGAACATTATAATATTTTTTGATTTTTTGCCCAATTTCAGTTTTTTTTTTCATGGGGTGCAGTGATATTGAAATCCAAAATGTGAGGTGTTAACTCATCCCAGTATTTCAACATATCAACATAAGCTTCAGGTTTCGTTAATATGTCTAAAATATAAATTTATTTGCAACATTATTTTTACACATAACAGTTACAATATAACTCAATGTAGAGACATAAAAGATATTCATCCCTTAAAATATATAAATTATTAGTTTTTTGATTATCATAAAATTTGGAATAAATCAATGATAAAGCATATAAAAGGAAGCTTAATTTGTATCTATTCTTATTTACAACGAGAATTACACTCATTCACTGTAAATAATCATCATCATAAGCTTTTGTCCTCAACCATGTAGAGTGAGGTTACGTTTACTTTGGCTGGACAAGGAGTCCTGTTTTGTACAACTATCTTTTTTTAATTCAATTCATGACTCCCTTCTTATACCACCTTCATGGGATATGTAAGGACTTCCTGGCAATTCTCTTGTGATCCATCCTAGTAGTCTGCAGTACAGACCCAGAATTATTAGCATCCCTTGAAAACTTTGCGAATAGCTTCAAAGATGAATCCTAAACCATAACTTATTTATTTAAGAACATTCTCGGAAATCTGGCGTTTTCAATATGGATAAAGGGCCATTGCAGGGACAGGGCGACCATGGCTGTCATCCCAGGGCTCTAAAAACAAGAGAGCATCACAAACCAGGGACAAAATATAAAGAATACATAATACATTTGAAAAGTCATATTTCTCTCATGCTTGCTTAGATTATCATACACTATCAGCAGAATAATGATTTCTAACATCAGTTCTACTTGCTAGTGCTAAACTAAAAGCTGGCTAGAGATTTATCGGTCCTGAAAGAAATTGCAGTAGTATAACAAAGTACAACAAATATAACATGTAAACATGAGACAGTAACCTACTACTTGCTGAGTTCAAGGAATGTGAGGGGATGCCTGATATAATTTCGTATGGGCGCCAAAAACTCACGCGACGGTTTTTTTCCGGAAATGGGTAATCTTTTCTATTTAATGGGGTACTAAATACTCATGAACACACATTCATTTTCCACTTGAATCATAAAATAATGGAATACAAAAATGTTTTGCCATTTGGCATGATCTCCACTGCAACATGTCAAAGTAAGGAGGTTATTAAGGTTAAAGGTCTAATATTTTTGTATGCTACTTTTCTTTTCGATTTTTATACAGAATTATCTGAAGGTGGAAGTGAATTAGCCAATCTGGAAAGCAAATGGGTATTCATGAGATTTTTGTACCTCATTAACTTTCTTAATGTAATAAGAAACCCCTTATTTAAATTAATTTTAATAAATAAAAAATTTGTAGGTTACGATAAGATGAAGCCATTCATGAAATTTCAGATAGATGTTAATAATTCAATAAAAAGGGGTCTGTACTGAATCACCTTCATACACTGCGCTTTCATGCAGAAAGTGGCTAGTTAGTGTACTATGACCTGATGATGGAACCGCTATCTTTATGCACCTGTTATTTTTAATAATATTTGAAATAATTCTAAAAGAGGAAATAGATTATGATTTGATGACTACAACTCTTAGCCTTTTCAATTCAGAAAATTTTTAAATTCAATTTTCAGTTTTTCTTTAATATGCATAAGTCTAAATTAATTAAATAATTCCTGAATATACGTTTTCCGTACCTATTGTTCCAATCAATCCTTCATCAAGTGTAAAAGAAAATATAACTGGAACATCAGAGCCTCGTTTTTCTTTTACAATGTTTATTGGTAAATCTGAAATGAAAGCAGTTGGACTTGGTGGCTCAATGACCGGAGCAAAAATAACCATCGGAACTGAATCTCTCCCGAACTGAAAACAAACAATTTTAAATTAACTGAAATATTTCGATATTCACAAATTGAATTGATCATATAATAATTTAATACCGCGAATAATTTTGCTAGTGAAACAATATGTTCAGCTGGTCTATTTCTTAAACAATTAATCATGGCAAGTGAATCATTTACAGGGCAGCCAAGATCATTCGCAATAACCATAGCTTTTTCTTTCGATTTTTCTGCTGCTGCCCATGGATTCAAAGCTACACCACTCATACAGATAGCTCTGTGGAATAGACCTAGAAGATGATGCCATACAAAGTTAAATTAAAACTTTAAAATATGAATTAATAAGTTACCAGGAATTATATTCTGCAAATCACCTTTACTAAGTGGAGAAAGTAGGTGATAATGACAACTTGCTCCACCTGCTGACACACCACCAATCGTCACACTGTTTGGATTGCCACCAAATGCTGCTATATTCTTTTGTATCCATTTTAAAGCTAAAACCTGATCTTTCAAACCATTGTTTCCTGGAACTACACTATCCTCTGTGCTAAGGAAACCTAAAGTTATAAAAAAAATTAATCATGAATAATTTTCAGATTTACTAAAATAACATTGGTATTTTCTTGTTTTTTGTCTTCTAAGAAGTGTATTATGGGCATTTTAAATAATTGGATTTACTGATTACAAAAAAGTTTAATATTAATTTCATCGTAGTATTTAGAGGCAATAAATACAAATATTTTGTTAGACAAAAAATAAATTTATTAACAAAGATTTAAGATTTCCTATACTTGGATCATAATAAAAAAAAAATGTATGTATATAGATTTTCAGGTGACTAAATCAACCACCTCAAATCAATCATTCAGAAAAATGTGTATAACTTTAGAGTATAGTGGTGAAAAAAACACAGCAATCCATATCAAGACAAAAATAAAACTAATGGGCTTAGGCATACAAGGGGTTCAGTTTTATTTAAGAAGTAACAGAATAGGATAGGGTTAAGTTAAAATCCAACAGTAGAGAATATGGTGGGATGGCACAAGTCGCATCATCAATATTTTTGTGAAGAGCGCATTTTTACATTGTTTATGATTATATGAAGGATGTATCAAGTAATAATTTTTTGAAGGGGGGGGGATGTCTTCAGCGAACCACTTGTTACTGGTTTATCAGTTTTCGGAGGGAACCATATTTTTGTATGGTTTCAATTTGAGGAAGTGTAATATGGATTATTATAGAATTATTGATGTTTGAATTAATTTAAAAAACACCAGATGTTGTACATTGTTCAAAATAGATTGTTTTATTTATTTAAAACTTACTCAACCTTTATTTTTGTCTATACACAATTATTAAAAGGAAAAAGGGAAGAACTAAAATATAATTTTAAAAATGATTTTAGTTGAACTGATTTTAAGAAGAGGAGAGCAATATTAGATTTATTGGGAGGGGTCATGTGACACCATACTTGGAAAGGATGGTCACCCTTGTTAACATCTATAAACAAAGAGAGAAGATAATCTTAGCTTTTGTTTTAGTGCAATAAAGATATGAGAATATGTGGTACATGTAAGTATACAATTTATCTACTTTGTGGTGGATAAAACTAGTTTCTAGAGGAATGTCGATGGTTTTCGATAGTAAAACTTTACTAATTGGAAACTGTTGACACAATCAACTTTAAAAATTAGTGTAGCAAAATAGTTTCTTTAGAGAGTTTTGGGGCAGCAGACTTATAAAGCTTGGAGTTAAAATTATATGATAGATTCATTACAGGCTAATTTACCTAAATCTTTCATATTTCATAAATTATAGAATTTGTAAAAACTTCAGGAAAATAGCTTGTAATGATTTTAGCGAAAATAATAAGGTTCTGTCATATTAATTGCCAGACAAAACCTTTGGAAGTACACATAAATGAATGTTAAGAACATGGGATCAACTTGAAGTCCATTACTAATAAGAACTAAGTTTCAAACAAACAATACTTTTAAACATAAATCGATAATATGATTAAAGAAACATGAGCCAGCTACTAGAAATGAAAAAAGAGCCAGCTACCAATAATGAAAAAATAAGCCGTTTTTCCTGGAGTGAAAAGAAGATTTATAAGCTATGAATGACAATGGTAATAAAATTATGATTACTACTAATTTTAAACCTGTCATTTTATTTACATACCTAAAGGACCAACTCTGTAGTTGAAAGTTACAAAAACAACATCCTTTTGAAGAAGTAAGGAGGGTCCATGATGTTCAGAACTCCCAGAAACAAAAGCTCCTCCATGAATATAAACTAATACATCTAGGAGCTCTGGGTTTGTTGTCTTTCCATCTGGCAGCTACAGGTAAAAAAAGACAGAAATAATTCATTAAATCTTCATTCTTGGGCCTAAATAATATAAAATTGATAATATGTTTTAATATTAAATCTAATTTTCATAATATGTTTTAAATTATAAGTTTACGATTTTAAAAATTACGTGAAACGATAGACTTCCCAATAAAAGCCTTCACGTTAAACTTTACAAGTTTTAGGAGTCAACTGAATTAAAATGTGGTTACACACCTTTGGCGTATACACATTGATATAGAGACAATCTTCTGACCCATGCAATGTTTTTGTAAGAAATAGATCAAGTTGAAGACAGGCAGGCGGCGCCCTTGTGGCATTATATACACCTATCCAAGGACTTGCTGGAATTGATTCCTTTAACAAAAGCAAAAAAAGTACATATAAATAAATAAATTTTATGTTGTTTTTTGTTGAACTTTGAACACTTAGTTATTTGATTGTCAATGATAATGGTCATAAAATTAATTTGAATAATGGATAATATTTATTAAACCTAGTTTTGACTGAATTATGTAAGTTTCACATGGCAGCCTCTCCTTTCGCAGAGCCTTGATAAACAACTGCATAGTTGGTTCGATAGGTAGACTTAATAAATAGTTTCCATTATTTATCCAAGCCATTTTAAGACTTTCACCTTTTTCCCTAATTATACAAGTAACAACAAGTAACAAGTAAACATCCAATTTTTTTTAAATACATTGCCAATATTTATATTATATTATTATCATGATTTACCTTGAATCTATGCTTTCCTTCTGGTGGCTTCGCATACGGAATCCCTTTAAAAGCAACTATTTCACGATTATTAATAATTTTTCTATAAAATCCTCTTACGATACCTTGTTCTATTCTAACTTCTGGTTGAATTGATGATTCGGTTAAATAAAAATTACAAATAAATAAGAAATAATAAAAAACTGATATAAAATACATATTTAATATATGTTCAATGCAGAGATTATTTTTTTTTAATACTTTATATTAACAATTAAACGCTACAGAAATGATTCCTGTAGAAAATAACAAAAACTGTAACACAAAATATCAAACTTCATTCATTGTTATAGTGTCTGTCTGAAGTTAAAAAATATTAATTTAATTGAAGAGAATACATTAAATAACTGGTAAAATTATCATATTTGCTTGGTTGATAAGGAGATATGATATGAATAACAGACACACTTCCACTCATTTGTTTTCCTTAAAGGAATTGACAAATCATGCTACTTACAGCATGGTTAATCATTAAACTGATTAAGGTTCAAGTATTATTTGCATTGAACATTTGTAGTAATTTCTGTAAAAACATTCATAAGATTTCATAATTTTTATTAGCAGCTGAATGCTTATAAAAAAATGATGTAATAAGTAAATGAATAATATCAGTAATATGATCTGAGCTTTCTAACTATAATTCAAAGTATTTAAACACTAAATACATTACTGTGTATGACATAAACATTTCTATTTTGAGAGTAGGGTAGTTCACTGAGTAAGTCACCAATATTCTATTTTAAACAAGGCAGGTTCGACTCTGGCTCAGAGATAGGCAATTGGAATAAATACATATGTTTTAAATAATGTTTTGTACATAAAATAAGAATTTTAATGCAGCAAAAGCTTTCCTACATATAGAAATAGAAAAATAACTTTATTCTGGGACACAGTCCCTTGAGAATAACAAAATAGAACAAAATTAAAATATTACATCTGGCCAAAATAAAATCAATCGAAAAAAAGAAATAATGTAAAAAAAATATAAGGTAAAAATTCTATATACAAAACAACTAACTATAACAAACTAAACTATATACAAAACCATTAATACTATGACAAGACACTTAAAGCTATTTGCTCTTATAGACCAGTATACACTTTTCCGAAAAAAATAAAGAATTAAAAAATAAAAATGTATCAAATTCTCTATTAAAATCCGCTCGAATGGTTAGCAAGTATCTGACTGTTTTTGTGATAGGAATTGGAATAGGAGGGATTTGAATGTGGATATGGAGGGGGAATGTCGAATTTTGATAGGGAGGGAATTCCAGAAATTGACAGAGCGAACAATAAAGGAATTTTGGAATGAGGCAGATCTGTGAGAAGGCATGTAAAGGTCAGAAGGTCGAGATCTTGTGGACAGGGTATGGACTGAGGATTTGAACTGGAGAAGGTTGTAGGCGTAAGAAGGACGATGGTTGTTGATGATTTGGTAGAGGAACGTACCTAGAAAATATTGTCTTCGGAAGGAGGGGAAGAGCCACCTTAACTCAGTGTAGTGGTGAGAGACATGGGAGTACCTCGGGGCACCAATAACAAATCTTACGCAGCTATTCATTAATCTTTTCAGTCTATCACGGAACTCCACCGAGAGGCCATCATACACCACACAGCTGTAGTCAAAGTGGGGGAAGATGAGAGAGGAAATTAGGAGTCTACGGATATGTTGAGGTAGGAGATGGCGGAAGCGATGAAATAGTTTAAGGGTAGAAATTGTCCGACGGGAAATGTGAGAAATATGGTAGGTCCAGGAGAGGGTTTGATCTATGAAAAATCCTAAATTTTTAACAGAGGAGTAGAAGGAAATTGGCTGGTCATTAAGGTGTAATATGGGAAAGTCAGTATGGGATCTAATAAGGGACTTGGAACCAATGACAATGGCCTGAATTTTGGCAGCATTTAACTTTAATCCATTTACATTTGCCCAAGCATTGATTCGATCAAGGTCTTCTTGAATCTTGGCAAATGCCCCCAGTAACTCAGAGGGAGAAAAGGATAGGTAGATCTGGGAATCATCTGCATAAAGGTGATGGGAACAATGGAGAATTGATTTAGGTAGGTCGTTAATGTAGGAGCTGAAAAGGAGAGGAGATATGCTTGAACCCTGGGCAACTCCAGAGGATAAAGAAAGGAAAGCAGATAGTGGTTGGTTGGGTATGGAGACTGCTTGGGTGCGTTGGGAGAGGAAAGATTGGAACCAAGAGATGGAACTATTGGAGAAAGATAATGATTTTAGTTTGTTGAAGAGGATGGAATGGTTGATGGAATCGAAGGCTCATATATATACATATTATATAATAATTTATGTATTTATTATATTCAAAAGTTTTAAATTAATACCTTTAATGAAGTCCTTTTGTATTATAGCACGATTTTAGAAGGGTTCCCATTCTCCCCAAGATCCATGGGACAAGACCTTACTCCCCCTCTTTCCTTCTTCCAAAATATTTTATTGCTCAATTTTCTTAAAAACGGAGCAAGCTAAGGTAGAATTAGAAAAAATCGCAGATCCCCTTGTTCCTCAATCTCAAAATTCATAACCCCGTCGAAATTTCTCCTCCCTCAAAAATTCAAAAATCCGTAAAAATATGTCCCCCTCAAAAATTTTGATGGCGCAACTTGAAAGTCCCTTCTGGACACCCCTGCCATTTTACATAATTTAGGCATTGATGGGGGTCAACATCGAAGTTAATTTTAAGGTAAGGTATTTTCTCCCATTCTTGCAACAATTACTTTTAGATATTTTACTGAAGTTATATTTTCATGATGAACAGCGGATCGACAACAAACGACAAAATTTCGATATGATTTAAATCTGGACTCTGGATAACAGTTGCGTGTTCCCTTGGATAATTATCCCACCCAACATCAATCTATGAGAGACATCTAAAATATATATATTTTTTAAGTATCTTTAAAATATCTCGCGCGGGCTCATTACCGCGTATGGGGAGCGTCCCACGGGTGGCGGATGTGGGGATGGTCGGTGGAAATTCCTTGGAAGTTCCTCCCGGCTAAGTCCGATGGACTCGCTGACCAACAATGAGAGGGGCCCTCCAGACTTGCTGGAGGGAGGGGACCTCCAGACTTGCTGGAGGTAGGGGCCCACCAGACTTGCTGGAGGGTGTGACGTAGGATTGAACGCCCTACTCACATATCTTTAGTTCACCAAACACCACAAAAAGTCATGGATCTCCCTAAGGTAAAACGCTCATTATCCGGAGGTAAACTAGTCCCCCGTTCGGGTCTCCGGGTGGGGACTGCTTTAGGGGATTCATGCCGCAAGTTGAAATATAGGGATTTAAATATTGGTACGTGGAACGTAAGGAGTTTAAACACAGCAGGGGGGCTAAAATCGGTCGCGAATGAGGTAAATGGGTACAATTTGGATGTCGTGGCTCTGCAAGAGGTTCGCTGGCCAGGAGAGGGCTCGATGAGGGAAGGGAAGTACACTATTTGGTACGGAGGAAGCGGAAATCATTGTTTAGGTACCGGGTTTCTAATTAGGAGTAGATTACTATCCGCTTTTTAGGGACGTACAATTCTTTAGTGATAGAATTTCGGTAGCTACATTTCAGGGACGTTGGTTTATAATCGCATTAATAAACATACATTGTCCGACCGAAGACAGTGACGATGAAGTCAAAAGTGAATTTTACGATAAACTCGAATGGGTTTATGATAAACTACCGCGAAACTACATGAAAATAATTGTAGGTGACGCGAACGCAAAGGTAGGAAGGGAAGAAGTTTATATTCCGACGATTGGTAAAGAAAGTTTGCACGAATATAGTAATGATAATGGGATCCGTCTGATAAACTTTGCCATCTCGAAAAACCTGATAATCAAAAGTACGACGTTTAAACATAAAGATATTCATAAATATACTTGGACATCACCGGATTCGCAAACACGAAATCAAATCGATCATGTCTTGATACAACACAGCTGGCAAAGCAGTATAATTAATGTACGGTCTTATCGCGGAGCAGAATGTGGGTCGGATCATGAATTAGTAATCGCGAAACTTCGACAAAAACTTAATATAAAAAAGAGAAAAGAAAACCATTTCGATTTTGAGAATTTTAATTTGGAAAAATTAAAAATTCCATCAATTAGAAACCAATTCGAGCTAGATGTTAAGAATAGGTTTGAAGCTTTAGAGCTTCCTGACGAGGACCACGAGGATATTGACAAGTTATGGATAGAGATCAGAGATAATATTAAAGCGGTCGGTAACTCGTGTCTAGGAAAAAAGGAAAATAAGAATAACAAACCGTGGTTTGATGAAGATTGCTTAAACATGTGTGAAAAAAGAAAAGCCGCTAAATTAAAAGCTCTAAATAATCCTAGCGAAGACAATCTGGAATACTTCCGAATCTCAAAGAACGAAACGACAAAATTGCTCAAAAATAAAAAAAGGGAGTATCTTAAAAATAAAATAATTGAAATAGAAACTAATAGAATCGAAAATAACGTAAGAGACATGTACAAAGGTATAAACAGATCACGTAAATATGTAGGGCCCGTAACGTCTGGAATTAGGGATGATAATAACAATATTCTGACCGATCCGGTTGACATATTGAATAAATTTAAGGACCACTTTGACAATATATTAAATACGGGAAATTATGATCTGTGTCCTCCTTCTGAGTACCAGAGTGCTGAACCGTTAATAGAAGGACCAAGTAAAGAGGAAGTTGAAGTAGCTATCGGAAAATTAAAATCATATAAAGCTGCGGGAATCGATAATATTCCTACTGAACTAATTAAGGCATGCGGGGAAGCTGGAGTTTCTAAAATACATCGGTTGGTTAAAAAGATCTGGGTGAACGAGAAATTACCTGAAGAATGGAAAGAATCTATTCTTATTCCGATTCACAAAAAGGGCCCGAGGACGGATTGTAATAACTATCGAGGAATTTCACTCCTTCCGGTATGTTATAAAATATTCACTTTAATCTTAACCAGTCGAATCACGGAATACGCCGAGGAAATTATCGGAGACTACCAATGCGGATTTAGACGGAATCGTTCGACTATTGATCAAATATTTTCTTTACGGCAAATATTAGAGAAAAAATTGGAGTATAACGGTATTGTTCACCAGCTGTATATAGATTTTAAAAAGGCTTATGATTCTATTGACCGC